GGGCCTGGCACAGGGGCCCATGACCCTGTCTGGCTTCAGCGATGCCCCCCGCCCCCTGCCAGTGTCTACTGCCTCATCTGTGCAGCCGGGAAGGGCTGTGCCCACCCGCAGGGAGCCTGGGAACAAAGGCCACATTGTGGTCTCTGGCGGTGGCGGCACCCTGGCCTGGGAGGACCAGGCAGCCTCCTGGGCTCACGCAGAGGAGGCCTGGTGTCTGTGGGCTCAGCCTGGTGGTCGCGATAGGTCTGTGCCAGTCTCCCTGTCCCAGGCTCACTCGCTGGCTGGCCCAGGCGGCTGGGGTGGGGGGCGGCCCCCAGGCTGCACTGCTGGATGTCTGACATCAGAGCCCTGGACCCCCACCCCAGTCCGCTGGGGCGAGCCCAGCTCCCCTGCGCCCCGTGCTCACCTGCGCCTCGGTCCTGGCCAGGAGCTGCCCGAGCAGGAGCAGGGCCAGCGTGGGGGCTCTGGCCATGGCTGCGTGCACTCTGAGTGGCGCTGGAGGCGCGGCCAGGCTGGGGCTCGGGGCTCTGGGCTCGGGGTTTGGAGGGCGGGGCCGGCGGCGGGCAGGTCTCCAGTTCCCGCCCCTCTGGCTGCACACAAACCCCCCATTCAGCGGGGCCCACCAAGCTGGGCAGGGGCTTCCGCCGCCACCGGGCCTCCCAGTCCAGGCTGTGGGAGGAAGGCAGGGGCCGGGGTGGTGGGGAAGCAACCAGTGGCATTTTTTGGGTCAGCCTCTGAGTTAAAATTACCCCGGCTGCTGAGTGAGACACACACACCTTTTAGCAAAAGAGAAAGACGCTCTTTTCTCCCTGCTCCTCCCCAGGGTGTGGGAGCCCACACGGAAGGGCTCCTGTGGGGAAGGCGCACCTTTAGTCTGAGAAATGGGGTCCGGAAGCTGCCTGCCCTTCCCCAAGCCCTGAGTGGGCCCCAGGCTGCCCAAGGCCCAGGAAGACCCCCAGAGAAGGTGAGTGCCCCTGTCAGGGTTCAGACCAGCCCCCACAGCCCTGATTCTTGACATGGGCCCTGCCATGGGCAAAAGTCTAGGGCAGTGATGATGAACCTATGACACGCGTGTCAGAGGTGACACGCGAACTCATTTTTTGGGTTGATTTTTCTTTGTTAAATGGCATTTAAATATATAAAATAAACATAAAAAATATGAGTCTTTGTTTTACTATGGTTGCAAATATCAAAAAATTTCTATATGTGACACGGCACCAGAGTTAAGTTAGGGTTTTTCAAAATGCTGACACGCCGAGCTCAAAAGGTTCACCATCACTGGGCTAGGGCCACGCCTGCCAGGTTGGGGATACCTCCTACTTCAGGGCCTTACCCCAAACTTTATACTGAGTGGTCCATCCACATGAGCCATGGCTGGCAAAGGCCTGGCTGTCCCCTGGCACCCCTCACCCCACGGGACGGCAAAGTGGTGGCTCTGGCCGAACGGAAGGAGGACCACCAGGGTCCCGAGGCCGAGCAAGCGGTGATGGACAGGGACTCTGAGGCTGCGTCAGGGGCTCCGTTTCCCACAAGCCCCTGGCCGCTCAGGGGGCAGCACCTGGGGCCAGGTGGCCTCCATGGCCACCCTAGGGGCCTCTCCAACATCCAGGTCACCTACAGGCCCACCCCAAGATATCTGAATATTTAGGGGTCATGGCACACCATGTCAGCTTCATTTCCACATGTGGGAACGCAGGACTTTTTAAAGAATATATTTTTTAAAATGTGTTTTTATTGATTTCAGAGAGGAAGGGAGAGGGAGAGAGAGATAGAAACATCAATGAGAGAAAGAATCATTGATCGGCTGCATCCTGCATGCCCACACTAGGGATAGATCCGCAACCTGGGCTTGTGCCCTGACTGGGAATTGAACCATGACCTCCTGGTTCATAGGTTGACGCTCAACCACTGAGCCACGCCAGCCAGGTGGGAACTCAGGACTTTTGAGACAATGTGAATTCAAATGAGAGGGAGCCTCAGGGAAGCACCTGGCTTCACTGTTGGTCAGACTGCAGCTGCCCCTTCAGGCTGGGCCACACCCTCACCTGGGAGGGAGAGGTGTGAGTTACATCAGGAAGAACCGGAGAGGCTGGGCTCCTGCCTCCAGCAGAACTGGAGCCATCCTGGGCCGCACAGACAGCAGCAGGCTGGGGAAGCCCTCCACCACCCCAAGCCCAGGGTCTGGGGAGCAAGATTGGTTCCCCCCAGCTCCCGCCTCAGTCCCTCCCAGCTGCCCCCCAGCTCCCAAGGAAGCCCAGCTGGCCTCCAGCTCCTTCAGGAGCCACCTGGCATCCTGCTCCACTGCCCGCAACAAGCCCAGCCCCCGCTCCTAGCAGACCCTTCCATCCTGCTGCTGGGAAACGCCTCCGCTCCCCAGAGCTGCCCCTGCCGCCAAGCCCTAACAGCTGCAGTGGCCTGGGACTGGGGGATAGGGGCCAGAGCTTGGGGGTCAGTGTACTGGAGCTGCCTGGCTGTCCCCAGTTCCCCACTGTGGGCACAGACTCCACCCCCAGGGTGACTCGAGTAGAGTTTCCTTCTGGCATCAAGCTTCTCTATCTGAACTTGAACCCCATAGGCTCTCACCTGGGACCCCGACCACTGGGGTCCCTGACTCAGTGTTTGACGTCCCACACCCACATCAGCGCTCAGTCCCTCTGTGGTGCAAACGGGGGCTAAGGACATGCCCCTCCCCCATGAGGGCGCTGGAGAGTTAAGGCAGGTCTCCCTCCAAAATGACTTCCAATTTGTCTGTCACATCGAGTCCCCCTCTCCCCTGCCCTTCCCGGGACTAGAGCTAGTGGCCAACGCTCTTCTTGGAAAGCAGGCGGATCGCACTCCGCAGCTCCCTCCTCCTCAGGAGAGCAGCGAGCTCATCACTTCTTTTGTGCGAAGGCCCTCGGCCCAGTCCCCTCAGGCCAGTGTCAGGAAGGGAGGCCCCTGGCCCAGGGGGATGAAGCCAGGCTGGGTGCTCACCCTGTCCTGGGGGGAGGGCTGCTACAGGAGGGATGCACTGTGCCCAGGCCAGGTGGGAGGAGCCTAGGGGGTCCTGGGAGGCGGTGCCTTGGAGTGGAGGGTCAGCAAGGGGCCGTGGCTGGCAGGGCAGGGACAAAGCCACAGAGAACACTGCTGAGTTAGTTTACTTCCAAAGCACATCACTGCACCAGAATCAGGGCAGGCGAAGGTGTGGTCTAGACCTGGGCATTCTGAACGCTGCCCACCGCGGGCGGAGCTGCCTCAGTGCCCGTAACAAAATGCGGCCAAGGACCCACTATCCAGCCGCATGCGCTGTGACCAGGGTGCACTGGGCAGGGCAGGTGTGCCTGAGGGCTGCTCCACTAGCAGAGTCCGGAGAGCAGCATCGCTCCCGAAACCAGCCCGTCCACCCTGGCCACCCACAGGACCGGGTCCACACCGAAACACTAAGTCAAATGAGTTTATTCAGAAAAGGCCTCGGCACCAGACTAAGAAATGAGCCCACTCCCACCCCAGACGCTCCGGGGCCAGTTTACAAAGATGGGGCAGCGCAGAGGGAGGCGGCGAGGAGGTCGAGGTAAGGATTCTGGAGTCCGTGGGCGTCCCCGGGCCTGTCTTCCGACAGCGACCCCGGCGCGAGGC